GTCTACGTTCCAAGAACGCACCCTTGCAGTCTTCATTCAAATCCATGCGTGCATCATGGTTGCAACACGTGCCAAATCAGAAAAATCTTGTGCCAGCTCAAAAACATTAAAAGTGCAAAGGGTATGTCTCCAACTCAGCGCTTGGCATTCAACGCAACATCAAATCGGATTGCGTGGGACCAGCGTTGGAGCCTGTCTCACATGACCAGGACCAGACTCAAACCAAGGACAGGGCCTAAGCAGGCTTCGTGCAGGACTCTAATTCGTCATGATCAACTACGGTCCAAGAACGCACCATTGCAGCCTTGATTCAACCCCCTGCAAGCATCAGCCACAATTATGTCACATCAGAAAAGTCGCGTCCCAGCTCCAAAGCATCCAGAGTCCAAAGGGCATTTCCCATGTGATGGCCATATGCCTTTACAAGTATTTGCTTTTGGATCAAGAGAGCGAAGACCCGGTTTCTTGACCTACATTCAGGTTCTTTAGACAGGATTTGTCATCTACTTGTGAGAACGTGAGAGCCCTCATTTCATTGCCCAAATCAGCGCAGGTCCTGATGCCTCAGTCATTATACGCCCTGATGAGGCCCTGTAGTCTGTAGGTCGAGTGTAGGTCTCTGGGTCCAGCAGTTGGGAACAAGGGTTGGATGAACCATGCCTCGAGCTTTATTTGCGACCTGTTTCGTTTTCTCTGAAGACAAACCATCTTTTGACATTCAGTTGTCCCTTGCATGGCAAGCATCATCCACATGTCACATCAGAAAATCTGGTGCCACCTCCAAACTTTGTCCCGTGGCAAACGAAAGCCTCATCTATGTGTTGGGATGTTTTGGGATAATCATGGGACTCCAGCGCAGCAAACGTCAGTGGCAGCGGAAAATGCGGTCAAACCATGTCAAACCTAGCGAATCACTCGCATTGGCCAAGCAGGTATCTCCGAAGATTGGCACTTAGCCCTTTCTTTTGACAGTAGACTTGCTAGCTAATAACTTAGCGTGCACGTATTTTTTGGGCTCTTTCGCCACAAGGACTTGGATAAATTCACTGGCCAAATTGTATTGAGCAAGTGCGCGAAAAGCACTCGCATTTGGGACAACCCTGCATGTACAGGACATGGCAAATAGGAGAAACCATGTTTGAGAAACATGGAATCTGGATCTGCCCGTGGGAATGGGTGGTGAGGTCCAGCATTATGCCATGTCTTTGCCTTGCCATGAGTGAACGCAAAACAGATTGTATCTTGGGGACTTTGCTCCGTGAGCGAGATGCTGCTGAATCATAAGAACAGTTCAGCGAGCAATGATGAGGGACCTATAATCCAGTACTTGGCGCAGCCCAAGTTCTTCTTTCTCGATATCTTGGCTGGAATTCGAAGAAGAATTCCTTGCGTGATCCTCTTCCTTCAAAAGAGTTTCTTTCGCGCACCGCGCACCCTGTAGATTCACAGCTGAAGCAACCTCGAGACCAAACGTTTGACCAGCGGTTTGTGACGGTTCAGCTGCTTTGGGGCAAGGATTGCACTTTTGTGTTGAAACATCTTGAAAATATCTTTCTCATCGTGTGTTGACCGCACTCAACTACCCGGTCATAGGAGCAATGCAAGTGAGATGGGCAGCGCCCACCGCCAGGTCCCAAGTCATGTTGCATCAGTTAGAATGCAAATCGTTTGCAACAAAATCATGAGATAGGAGGTGTAGAACCTCCAGGGCCCCCCAAAAAATGGCAGAGTCTGTGGCCGAATAACCAGGGTAAGGGTTAAGGATATCTATTCATATGGGTAAAGTCGCAAACAGCTCAAGGAACACCAAATGGCTGCGATGCGACTAACCGGCACAACTCTCAGGTCATGTGCTTCGCGTTTCACAGGTTATGCTCAGCGGCAACGCCCATGATCTGCTTTACCGGCCAAGTGCCCGATGTTGTAAGCAGCGGCCTGATGAGATAGGATTTGTGCACGCAGGGAAAAGCTGTCCTTTGCCACATGAGATAGGTGTTCTGATTTTGCCATATGTTCCAAAACTCCTGTCTCACTTCCGGGTAGTGTAGGTTGGGCATTGCAAAACTACGTCGCAGCCTGCCTGTGTGCCACACCCTCACGAGCCTCTAAAAGCCTGTTGTGGCTGGGCTGCCTGTGTCTTGTTCAGTTGTGAGAAAATG